ATTGAGATACAACCAAATAGCAGAAGCAAGAGATTTTTTCCCCCTGACCCCGTCAGTGTCTCAGTGAGTCTTTCTGGTTGACCACACAACACCAGGCCTGCCATGAGAAATACCTGGGTCATGTTTTCCTCCTTCTGTCCTCTGCCCCTTTTAATTTTCACAAAGGGTCATAGCAATTATTAACTGATGTTTCACAGATAACCTCAGTATTCATGATGTCACCTCAGCACAATGCTTTCAGAATAGCCTTTAGCTGGTTTGTACTGCTCTCTACACACAGATAAAGAATCACTGAAGGCATAGCAGACTCTACAACACCACTGGAATTAAATCTGACACTGTAAAATATTTTGGTTGCACAATAGTTGCTCAAACAGCCTGAATTGTAAATGCTTTTAATAGAGCTTACTATGAATTGAGAAAAAGGAAAAGAGATGGCAAACAGTTGGTGAATGGCTGTCGGCGAGGGAGAGAAGTGAGATGTAGACAGCATGAAGACTGAGCACAATACCTGCTCAGATGAGAGGATGTAGAAAGATGGAGATCAGTGCCCGAGGAAGATGTGGAGGGGCCAAATGTGAGAGATAAGCTTCAGGGCAGAGGAAAAAAAGGCAAGTAAATAGGAGTAAAAATGGGCAAAGGATGTGTACAGGGAATGATAAGACTAGGAGGAGGAGGAGTTCCCCTCATTACGAAAAGTGTTCATTAGTCAGCCAGATCAGCCCACCACTGGAGCTGAGTAGCAGCAACTGGATCCGTTTAGGGTTGAGGACACTGGGGACTGAGCGAGCAGCTGAGAGAGCAGGCAGGGAGCCAGGACAGCACAGGCCTGACATGCCCACTTAGCCTGACACCAGTCAGCAGCAACTCGCTGCTGCTGCTGCTGCTGCTGCTGCTGCTGCTACTGCTGCTACTGCTCACTCCACACTGTCATTCCAGGGCCTATTGGCAAATTTTTGGGCAGATTATAGTCAAAGTGTAGTTGGTTACTGATAACAGTTCACCAGTCAGCATTGGTCACTTGTTTGTTGAGTGGCTGACTGCACTGCCAGACATGCCAGGATTGTATAGGATAGGTTCATGTATTTTCAAGGCTGTCACATGCCTGTGTCATGCCTTGTTGGCTATAATCATATCTCCTGTGCATATTGGCCCTGAGGAAATCCCGAATTTCCCAGTGTCCTTGTTATCTGTTATCTATCTAATGCATTCTTAAATTTACCTAATGCAGTTTTTGACCACTAGTAGTGCTATCTAGCAGTGCTTTACAAGTGGATCTCTGTTTTGTTTGTATCATGCATGCAAACCAGGTCAGACATGCACACACACAAGCAAGCAGGTGACACAGTGCACATTCCTGTCAGTTTTACGCTGTTCCACTGGTTGACAGTTGGTGATGGTAAACGTGGAAATTTGGCAATCTGGCAAAAAAGGCAAGCAAGAGGAAGCTAGCAAACCTGGATGTAAACAATGAACATTTAAAAATATATTTAAAACATTGGCTTTGCAAAAAACTGAATGTAAACAGTTTTACAAGTAAACTCTACTGGCCACCTTTAAGTGAAAAAGAAGCTGGCTGTAAAATACCCCAAAGAGCTGTTTGCCAATTGGCAAAAAACATCAGACAACAAAGAACTTTTATGGCGGCAGAGGTTTTACAGCACAGAGCATGTGTCTGGCATGGCTTGTGTTGGAAACTCAAAGTACTCCGACAGCGCATGGAAGGTGGGCTGGCGCAGGGGATCAGGGCCTGTGGTTCACTCCCGGCGGATCACCTTGGCTGGCGCCTAGCATCTGACTTAGAACCGGTGCAGACCACGGGTTCTAACTGTTTAATTAAAACAACGCTCTCTGTGATTCGATAGTATTATATACAGATATTAGTTTAGTTTGGGAAGTGGCAGTGATTTTGGGCTGGAATTGGATGTCAGAGCAGCTCTTTTTTTTTTTTTTTTTTTTTTAAATGGAAGAAATGAGCGTAAACGAGTTCATCTTTTGGGAAAGTGAACTGTGAACTATGAATGTGAACTAGTTCATTTTAATCTGTGTGAACTGAACTTTGAGCTAGCTCTTGTGAAGTGTGAACTTGCACAACACTGATCACATTAGTGCTGTCCACTTATATTTAATTTGTTTCTCTCTGCCCTTGAACAACTCATGTCATTGCTAATCAATTCTTACAACCTCCTCATGCATGCCAAGAAATACAGCCAAACTCTGTCAGGCGCTGCTTAGCTCTGACCATAGCTGCGCCTTTTTAAACCTAACAGATCCACGAAGCCCAGCTCTGCCCCGCTGTGCCCTGCTGTGCCCACTTCCTCAGTGACCCAGACACCTGGTTAGAGCCTTCTCTGCCCTGTGTTGCCATTTACAGCCAAGAACATCTGGCTGGCTGTGATCCAGGGTGTGTGATGAGGGGAAGAAGAGAGAGAGCCAAGAAAGGGGCAGATAGGGTTCAAACCAAACTATGAAAAAATAATATTAAAGAGGCAGAGGAAGGAAAATGAAGAGGGCAAAGGTTATAGATTTCAAGAAGTAACAAATGACCAGAATAAATAAGAGGGGAAGAGAGAGCAGAGGGGAAAAGAAAAATCTTTGAATGGACAAATTACCTTTGGAGGGAATTGGATTTTTTGTGCACAGAAGCTGTGATCAGCTGGTTAGTTCTCTGGATGGTTGAGAGGAGGCAGTACACTGTACAGTGTAAGAACTGGGGTGTGTGTGTGTGTGTGTGTGTGTGCATTTTAGTCCTACATGGGCGCAGGGCAAAATAAATTAAACTGCAGCTGAGACTCTGTTTGTGTGTGTTTGTGCGTGCAGAGTGCAGAATGGGGGACTGCATGAATCAAACAAAATAAAAACTCATAAGCTTAGGAGGTTTCCACTTCATGTGGTGTGTAGAGTGTTCATATGTGTGCGTCTGTGAATATTTAATTCTGCATATGCATTGGGGCTGAATGTTTTCTCGTGGTTATTAAATTTGTTCTTCCACGTTTCATATTCAAATTTATTTATGTTATTAATTGCTTAATAGTGCTGGGATCCTTCAGTTTCTTTTCTTTTGCCAAAGGGAGTTGGTTTTGGTTAGAAATGCTGGTAAATACCTGGATGTCAGTTCCTGAACTTTGATGCCATGTGAATGCAAACATGCAGGTGGGTGTGTGTGTGTGTGTGTGTGTGTGTCTGAATCTCTGACCTCCCTTGTGGTCTTCCCTTCACCCTCACTTACAATTTTTTTTTCAGAGATGTGGAGGCTTTTTGCTGCTTTAGCCTGATTTTGTGAACATTTGGGAGTGATATCAGGCACATTCATGTCAGTGTGGCTATTTGAAATCTTCTGCAGAATTTTGAGCATCAGCAGAGCTCCTGCTTTTCCTCTTTTCAGAAGGGACAGAGAGACATATTGATGGAACCGGATGGAAATAGAACAAGAGTTACAAAATTACTGCTGTTTCATTTCACCATGATGAATAATTTTATCATTGTGAGATACAGAAGTAGTTAAGTGAGGATTGTTACACTGAACACAGTGTGCTCACACTGTCTGAGAGCAACACTGTCAAACTCTCAGCCAGACATGCATAAATTTTTACTTTGGAAGTTTATCCATTTTGATCATATAAATCAGTGCCACTGGCCTATTTAGTTTTTTTTTAGGTATTGCTTTTGAAAGTTGGTACTTTTACTGTTCATGAACCTTGTTTACTAGAGTAGGTTCTCGATGCTCACTGTTAAGCTCCTCCCTCACCCAGTCATGATTTCAGACGGTGAAGTGGTCTTATCCTTTAAGTGGCCAAAAGCACAGAGGGAAACCGAGATTCTGTTGAGAGCGATTAGTATTATATATGACCAGTTCTAAACTTTGAATGCTCAGCATGCACCAATGTGACCCAGCAAAAGTTTAAAAAGAGACTCTGGGAAAGAAAGAGAAGAATCTTGAATATAGATTCAATATAGGTAATGAAGTAAAGGTCTTTTTAAGTTAGTAAAAGTCTTAAATATCCTTAAAGATCGTCATCGTCTACCAGGAAATATTTAACTTCTGAAACGGAAAGAATTATAATTAAGATAATAGCCATAGTGTTGTAGAATGAGAGACGAACATATGTTGTAGTCAGCTGACACACACCCACGCACACACATACATACATCCTCTTGCTGAAGTACTGCGTCCAAATGTCTATCTAGACTTCCAGTCTTCCAGATGGGCCACAGCACCTGAGATAATCAGTGGGTTCTGACAAATGGTAGGGCAGCTTCAGGTTACCGTGAGAACAGAGAGTCACACAGGTCTATGGAGCTGATAGCTGTGCACGCAGGCCAGAAATGAGATCCAGCTGGGTGAGAAGTGATCTTCATGTCTCACAGTTTGTAACAGAGGAAGTGTGTTACCTGTCATCTTGGGGTTTACTCCCAAAATCCAGGTGGATGCACACCTGGATGGCAAGACACGTGTTCCCACAGCTGTGAGGTACATTGTACACCTTTACACATACATGCAATAAACAACACTGCACACAGTACAGTATGGCCAGTCAGATGCTCCAACAGCAAAGTTCCCCTGAACCATCTTTACCTCACTGCATGACAAAAACCTGTGCACACATTTCTCTTATTGTCTCCACCCCTCGCTTCTCTTGCTCTTTTCTCTCGCTCTCTCTGTCTCGTGTTTCTTGGCCAGCAGCGGTAGCAGCAAGCAGGAGAGCTCTCCTAATGATGGTATTAAAAGAGTCAGGAAAATGACAGAGAAAGAGAAAGAAAAAGAATGTGGCAGACAGCTTTTTGCTCCCCAACACCCACAGATTCAGAGCTCCGGCAAAAAAAGAAAGAGACAGCAAGAGACAGTGTTCCTTTAGTGAGCAGTCTTTGTCTGTTTTTAGCAGCAGCTCTGCTCCCAAGCGTTGATCAGACAAGTGGTGTTGAGGGTTGAGGGTATTGCCCGCTG